CGTCTGCATTGCTCTGCTGCATGCAAGTGCAAGAAAAGTGATGCAGAATGTAGCAGTTGCTGAACTGAATAAGAGCACTGCTCTATGTTGTTGTGATCATATTTGAGAATCTTGTCGTTCCATTGTTTAAATTCACATTCACTTTTATATGCCATGCAGTTCATATTTTAGTTAGTATTCAGCTACTGTCCAACTTCATAAGGTAATTTTATGCCAAGTTTCCTGTATTTCCTTTATCTGTTCAAAGCTAATGTTAGTGGTGTGGTGTGACACCTTGATATGTGTTGGTAATTTGGTCATTTGTCTCAATTTGTAATATTTACAACCAATCTTTCTGGTAATATCTTTTCCATAAATAACCAAAGAAAAATTTAGTTGAGTTTAGTTGAATTTTCAGGCCTTAAACTTGTTTACATGGACATGTAAATATTGAAAAGTAATAAACACTCTTAACATAATGTAATAGGATGATGGTTTAAGATATAGGCCTTTTGCAGCCACCAGTATGATGTTGATCTTCTTACATGGCCATACTCAAATACACAAAATAACAGGTCAGTGTTTACCAGAAATATTGTAAGTTCTGACTATTCAGTTTGTTTCCTTTACTCAATAAATGCTATATCACAATAAAAACTGTTTATCTTTGAGCTAGTGCTGAGAAATTTGGTCATTTTGGCGTATGAGGCGGTCATCTTGAATTTTACACTCCACTGAGTTTCACGTAAGAGATAGAGCTTAGCAAAAATGGATTCAGCATAAAAAATACCCCTAGAATAGTCTATTTGCCAACTTTTACTCAAAAATGCCTGAAGATTTTTATTCAGGCACATTTTTGTGATTTCAACCTGGTCTACTACTCAGTGGATTTAGATCACAACCGTACATTCAGTGCACTTCATCTGTAGGCGGAGCCATCGGCCCCGCCCCCGTTTCATGGTGGGGACTAAGATCTTCAGACAAATAAGTTATTGGTTCACAAACAACCTAGTCAAAGATCTATCTTCGTTTCGTCTATTATTATTTTAATGACTTCTTGAAAGTCCTTCAGTTTTACTTTTAAAACATTTAAAATACAAATTGCCTCTGAATGGCAATGATTTCTCTTAACATCTCTGTGTCTATGATCTTCAACTGAAACACTGTGCTTTACTACAAACAGCTTATTATCACTAATGACACAGGCTCAGATAACATCTTTAGCTGACATTGAATGAGAGAGAGACTGTGAGGTATTCAGGACTGGTACTGCACGCTCATAAACTTCTAACATCAAACTTTAGGCATCTTTGCCAGAAATTACATAAGGTTTCAAATAAACATTATTTACATTTGTCTTTTGCCCACATCAGGGAATTAAGGCATTACTAATTTTCACTCAGATTGAGTCTCTTTGCACTGGCAGTTTTCAGCCACAGTACACATCAGATTCAGATAAGCAAACTGTTTCAAACTTATCTTTTGAAAGAAAAACATCAGCTTCTAGTTCTTTCATGGTCAACTCTTCAAGCTGTTTGTTTAATCAGCATTTAGCTGCTTCTGCTTATTTGATCGTACATATAAATCATGTTTCTAGTTCTCAATAACTTTTCATATTTGACTTAAGTTTCTCCAATTAGGATTCACACTAACTTTGACAAGTTTAGCACTCTCTGCTTATGATACATCTGTTGCAGTTATCATCATCCGTTAGATTAGTGTCTCTTAATCTTCATTATTATTGACAGATCATTAATTTTCATAAGCCGCATCGAAATGCTCAAAATATTCTAAGTTGTTTTCACAAAGTTTCTTGACTACTTTGGTCACACTTGTCCTGGGAAATTATCCCTGACCCAAATTATCAAAATTTTATAAAACAATATCTTATTTCAATGTCAATCAACCTTACTGATTTCCAGAATCTTTGGACATAGCTGTCTTTACATTTTTACATTCATGATGAACGCAGCCACAACAGCCTGTTTGCTTTTCACTGCCCTGTTCCACTGATTCCTTCACTACTTTTAGTCTGGTAGCGCTCAGTGTTCCCTCTCTGGGAAAATCATGATACTTTATCAATTTGTCAATATCTTGCATACACTTCTGCCCATAATGTTTTCTCATTTGGCAAAACACCGGTGTATCATATCTGGCAAGCTTGCTCTGAGATTTCCTCATACTGGCTGTTTCTATTTCCCCCCATGGATTTTCCTTGGACGTGTCTAATAATCTGTCGGACGTCTCCAACAGATCCGATCTCTTAACCCAAGATCGGTCAAGGTGCACCAGCGCTTTATCTACTGGAAATCTTTTGACCCCGCTGCAGATCTTCAATTACCCCACAGATTAGAGTCCACCTGAAATCTCTTGACCTGCTTTCAGCTCTCAAGTGATCTTGGACCGTAATCTGGGCGAAATCTCTGACCTGACAAATGTCAATTAATTTCAGATTTACGAAAACTCAGTGTCCATATGAAATTTCTTGACCTGACAACAGGTCTCAATTAATCTTGGACTACTCTCTTATTCGCAATTTACGAAAACTCAGTGTCCATATTAAATTTCTTGACCTGACAACAGGTCTCAATTAATCTTGGACTACTCTCTTATTCGCAACCACCGAAATAGACCCCAGCCAGTACAGTTCCTCTCAATTATATACCCAATATAAAATGAATTTAGCTGTGTCTTACCAGGATGTCTTTTCTCTGTGCCTCGGGTTCTTTTTTGATTCCAGTGGAGCCTCTCCTGGGCCTGATAGCGGTCGGCCTCTCTCTCTCAAGCTTACGAGGTAGAGCTGGAACTGCTCAGTCCAGGTGGCCAAACACCGTCCGCTCCCAGGTCCAGAAGGCACTTCCAAGGAATCCCATTCTTCTGACACCAATTTTCAAGGCAAAAATTCAATAAACAGACATCACTTCGTAAGAGACACTCTGAGTCAAATTAATAAAGGAAAAGGTTTATTATTCTTGCAAGAACAATAAGGCTCAGTCACCAACACAGATTACTGCGAAGTGGAGTGACGCCCAGAACACAGGCCGGGGTGAAGACTAAATAGCCCTCCCCAAGGTTATTTACTGCAAGCCGATCCTTCTCTGTAAATTTCCACAAAGTTATAGGATTCATGATGCCAGGTTAGATTTACTAACCCCCTCAACCCCTCCCAGTCTAAGATGACCCCTGACCCGGCCGGTCCTCTGGTGCCTAGCTCCACTCTTGATAAGGGAGAACAATTAATACATGTGAGATTAAAATTCCCCACAACAAACGTTAATTCGATGAGCAAAACTATGTCAGATCAACGTTGTTTCGATGTCATATTTCCACGTTGATTCAATGTCAGTTTGCTATCTGGGAGTGGGCTACATATAAATTTAAAATATTAATATATACCATTCTGAGTATTTAACAATCTGAGTGTACAAGGAATAAATTAATATTTGTATAATTTTTCTTCATCTTTGATCGTTCTATATAGCAACAGCAGTGCAAAAAATTCTGGATAACTGTTGAATAAAACTGACAGACTTCTTTCTGGTATTCACATTAAAATGTAGTTTATTGTAAATAATACTCCCTAAATATTAATAACTTTCCACACACTCCACCTTCTTACCTTTAATTAACGTATATTGGGAAGAATGAGCTTCAGTTCTAAAATCAATATCATATCTTTGGTCTTAGATAAATCAGCTGCAGACAAGCATCACCACAGCATTTTACAAAGTCATCAACAACTGGACCATGACAAGTTTACATTTTTTCAAAGTTTTGAAGACTCTCTGATCAATTTTCTTCTCCCAGAGTAGGTTTTTCTGATGTGTTAACAGTTGACGGGAACTCCGTTTCCACAACGATTACGTATTTCCGGTTTTTGTGAAAAAGGTCTATTTGATCGCAAAACAGCATGTGACGTCATTACATACAGGTTTTTATTCGCTTTAAAGCCGTTGGATGGAAACACACTTTCACCAGCTTTATCCGCATGAGTTTTTTAACCGAATTTCAGATAATTCGATTGACAAGTGGATGGAAACATGGCTTATTAATTAAATTATCAAATTGTGATAGGATATGTCAAAATGTTTGAGATGACCGATCAAAGCAGGATTTATGTTCGCAGAAGCGCGAGCTGCGCGCAAATCCCAATACAAAGCTTCACGAGATAGGATGCAAGTGGCAAAACTACACATTGTGGTGAGATCTGGTACTACCTCAGCCCTGAAGAGCGCCTGGTATCGAAGTGGCCAGGTGCCTTTTGCTGTCAGGTCAGAATTTCTGGATAAACGTTCCTTATAGCTCATTTAACCCATACCAGTAAATCTAGGTGTATCCCTACACTCATGTAAACCAATACATTATTACTAGCAACAACCATCAATTCAATTCATACTCACCCTCCGTGGAGATGCTTCCGTGGAGTCCTGGTGACCTCTTGCCCTCGCAAGGGTTGCTTTAATGCTCTTACTATTGCTTATAGAACTGGTATTGTGACCCGAGGCAAAGAACTATTCAACTTTTATCTTTATAAAATGAAAATTTATTTATACAAACGATAATAACACTGGTTACACAATGATTGTTAATAGTAGCAACAAAAGAAAAGGTTACAGATTATAATACCTCAGTTTCTCCCAACTTAACAGGGCAGTCCTGTATAAGTGGTTCAGTCACAAAGTTTTTCTTAACATACACAGTTCAAGTATCAAATGAATAACTAACCTTGTCCTTCTATGAGCAGGTTAAGTTAACATCATACAGCTAAGCAGTTAAAGCAATATATGTTCCAGCAAGCTGGACTGAAGAATGATTACCTTCAGGGATGCACGCAAAAATCTTCTAGCAAGATGCAACAACTAACACTGAGAAAGCAGCCTTATTTATACTGGCTGTGTGACACAATCTCTCAGACCATCTGGGTTTTTCCAACGGATACCCTTGCGACACAATAGTCATGCGACTCCTAGTTCCTCTTTTGAGATTCGCTGAGCAGGCACTACGTGTGCATTCTTTCTCCCCTTCCGAGTCTTGGGTTCTCTGGTCCTTCTTGAATGTGTACATGCATATAAATTCATATGTGTTTTTGTAAGTTCATTAAAATCTAAACTCTGCGGTACAACATCTATCAAAGCTCAGCTTCAGGAAGGGGATGTTTACAGGTAAAGATAAAGAGACTGAGAGAAGAAGAACGAGAGAAGGAGATGGAGATAAGAGAGGAGAGGTAAAGCAATGGCCTATTGCATACTGTGGCCAGAATGAGAATAATTTTATTGCAATGGATTCCTATTTAACACAAATATAAATAGCCCAAGTTCTTTGACAATTACTGTGGAAAAATAATATGTCCCCGAACCCAAGATCACTTTTGGGACCTCTGTAAAACCCTGTGTACTGCTTTTGCACTGAATAGAAAATTATATTTTTGGAAAAATACAATGAATTACAAGGCTGTACAGAAGAGTGCACTATTGCAGACTTATATACTAAGGTTTTAATTATATTATTTTACTGTATAGTCAGTGGGGAACTAAAGTGGGCATGTGGGTAAAATGAGTCCCACTCCGGCCCTGAAACCTCTCACTCAAAGTGCAAACCTACACATCAAATCTCCAAATCCATAAGCTATTTCTCAGCCTTTGACTCAGTTTTCAATTGCACAAAACACTTTTTTCAAAACACTACACACAATTCTCTACCTAAAACACAAAACATCTAGCAAGAATTGACTTTGGCTTTTCTTTTCCAAAAACACCAATCAATATGCTACAATTATTCACCAGGTCATGCAAACACTCCTCATATGTGCAAACTCTAATTGTTTTACTGCTCACTAACCAATCACTGCTTTACTGCCTAGAATAGGTCAAAGGTCAGATTACCTGTTTCGAACAATAGATGCCAACAGTGGACAGAGACCACCACAGACTCAATTGTGTCCTTTACTGTATTATAAAGAATATACTTTTGGTTTACATATGTTTATGGTTTTGTTGTATACAACAGTACACAACAGTAATGTTTCGCCTAATGAATATTTTCTGTTTCTACATTGCATTGGTGATTATAGTGTACTTGTTACCCCTTTCAGAAGATTACTTTCACTGTAGAACATTGTATTGAAATGTAAATGTGACGGACTGGAAGTATTACAGGGGAAGATAATAGTATTGAATGATAATTGGTACCCCAAAATTATTATTTTATTTTTTCCTCTCTCTCTCTTCAGTTTAAGTATTTACAAGAGTCTAAAAAAGGGTTGTGTTAATGTTATATAGATTTAAGTTTATTCTGAAATAGGCCTGTAGGTGGCGCATTGCACTAGAGTGATGAGAAATGACGTTCTGGTCAAAGGGCAAAGTCATTAAAAGAAAGCGCCAGAACGCTGCAGACACTAATGTGTGTTTCTCGTCATTTTATACAGTTGCTGTATCTCATCCTTAACTGTTTGAGACCGGTAACATTTTGGGGGCTCGTCCGCCGATGAGGATCTTGGTATCAGCTTCGAGACTGATGATGTAGGAGACCCTTTGGATTGAGCTACAAGGAATGCTGTGAGTTTGTTCACCGTGTGATTGCAAGTCTTCTGGGTTCCAGTCAAGATGGCGTCTTCAGCTCCTCTTCGTGCATTGCTATGGGATATCCAAAAACAGCTTCATCTGCTGAGTGAAGAACAGCTGCATAGTCTTGCTTCGACACTGGAAGATGAAAGAGGCTTGGAGATTCCTGAAGTCACAGGTACCAATGAACCTGAACTTTTTGAATTCATCATGGACTACATGAAAAGCGATCAGCTTAGAAAGCTTGAAGATGAAGGTATGTCCTCTTTGCTGATCATCAAAGACAAGATTGATGACCTAAAATCCAGCAAGGAGACTAAGGGTGTATTCACACCAGGAAAGTCCGATAGTTCACTTGCTTTGGTCCAGACCAAATAAATTATTATTATTTTTTTTTGGTACGGTTCGCTTTCACACTGCTCTTTTTGCAAGTGAACCAAAATTTGTAAACCAAACCACACGTGTGCTAAGGTCGTCCATTCATTGGACAAGGATTCTCAAGGGAAATCAGGAAGTGCAAAAAAGGCTCAGCATGGAGATATTTCCATATATTTCATACTGCAATATTTGTTCTTTTACTAATTTTGTGTTAATTCTGTACAAATGCAATATGAAGAAACTAATGAGTATCATATGATACAATGTCATCTATACGAAGTTGTAATTCGGATTTTGAGAAGACGACGAGTGTAACGTTTGAGTGGCTCTAAATGCGGGGAAATACGACAACTATCGTCTATCGTGCATCTTTTCATTCGACCATCTACTGTTTTTTTTTTTTTTTTTTATCTCTGGGCAACATCTCAACTTTGCGTTACAAGTGGCACTGCACAGAAGACGGAGAAGGTATAAAGTTTTCATTCATAGAGAGGGGCTATGTTCACTCATTCAAATAATGAGATTCGTATTGTGTACTAACAAGTGCTGTCAATGTTAACGCTTGCGATTAAGTTTGTCCAGTTTAACGTAAATTAACGCATCATCATCCTTGTATTGTAACTATCCTTACATTAATAATAATAATAATTCATTACATTTATATAGAATTTTTCTCGGCACTCGCTTTAAGGGGGAAACTCGTCAACCAACACCAAAAGGTGGTGAACTGCAAATGCTTTATGAACTGCAAATGATTTTTTTTTGCATCATTGCGCGATTAGACATTCACACACGACGCGCAGAAAGACGCGCAGAAAGATGCGCAATATTCTCTTTCGATGCAGTGCTTTCTTGCAATTGGGTCGGTTCATGTTCACACCGTAAACGAACCGTACCAGAGTTCGTTTGGAACCGTAACGAGACCACCTCTTCAGCTGGGTCTCGGTTCGATTGTTTGGTCCGCACCCGATTTCGATTGCTGTATTAACACCTGCCCAAAAGGTCCGCACCAAGGGGGCAAACGAACTAGAGTTCGATTCAATCGAACCAAACAAGGCAGGTGTGAATACACCCTGAATCAGACATGGACACTGCAAACAATGGTAAAGATATTAGTAGTGGGTCATCAACAACAGAACAGGTATCTGGGTTGGTTAGACTGACTGATGTTGCTGCTTTGTTGCCACGCAGAGATTTCAAAATGCATGGTGGTGTAATTTCAGATGCTAGTTTAGACATGAGTTACAACAGTGTATGCAAACAAATTGATGAGGGTTTGAAAGAAAAATTCTCTGAATCTGAAATCATACGCACAGTGTTAAGAATGATTAAACCAGGTAACTTTAAAGACATGTTGACCAACAAAGATGATCTCACTGTTGCAGAACTGAAACGGTTCTTAAAGTCGCATATGAGAAAACGTAGTAGCATTGAATTGTTTCAGGAGCTTAGAAATGCTAAGCAGCAAGATAAAGAAACTCCACAGCAGTTTGTCTATAGACTAATGGGGTTGAAACAAAAAATAATCTCTGCATCACAACATGGTGAGTCAGAATTTAACTATGACAAAAGACTGGTGCAGGGAGTGTTTCTTCATACACTGTATCAGGGGCTTAACGAGAAAAACGTCAATATCAGAATGGACATTAAGCCTTACATCTCTGACGTGACAGTGACTGATGACTTAATCTTAGAACAGTTTGCTAAATCAGCTAATGAGGAAGCAGAAAGACAGAAGCGTCTTAGCACTGTACATGAACACAAACTCCTGACAGTTTGTTCCTCCCAGTCCAAAGATGATAGTGAGAAAAGCTATGACACATTGCAAAAACAGGTGGAAGGAGAAGCTCGAGCAAATGGAACTGACAGCTCAGGTTCTCTTACGAGAGGTTCTCTCGTATTGCGTAAGCTAGCTTACGCTACGGGAAAGATTCATCTTTGCTGAGAAGTTGAAGCCAAAAAATTATTCCATAATTTTGTAATCATTGTCAACGCAGTATCTCTGAGGCAGACCATGAGTGGGCTAGCTAGCAGCTAACACCGTATCCTTTTCACTTATTCCATTCACAAAAGAGCTTGAGCGTCTTTTTCAAGATGCCTCGAATTTCCTGCGGCTCATGCCGCTCTTCACTCGAGGATGGAGACCGCCACCCCATCTGCGCTCTCTGTCTCGGAGTGGAACACGCAGAGCTCGCCCTCGCCAACGGAGGATGCGACCACTGCGAGGACCTGCCTCTGTCCGCCCTGCGGGCACGACTGCAGGCGGTCAAAACCGCTCCCGCGCCGCTCTCTCACTTCGCCGCGGAAGAAGAAACGCCGCTCCCAGAGGCTGCCGGAGCCCCCTGCGGATCCATGCGGGCCGCCGCCGCCGCCCACCGACCACTCTCCCTCTCCGCCCCAGGCGGACATACAGTTGCCGCCGAGTGGCCGCTCTGTCGCCTCCGACGACACCGCGGATGAGAAGGACTCCTGTTCGCTGCACGCTTCTGACAGCGAGGACTGGTCGTCGATTGGCTCTTCGACGAGAGAGTCTGCGGGGACTCGCGCCGGCATCGAAGAGGAACTTTTGCGTCTCCTCTCACAGGCCGTCGACCGCCTGGGTCTCGAGTGGTCTCCTCCCCCCGAGCAACCACCGAACCGTATGGATGGTAAATTCCTGCACCGGCGCCCGGCCCCCGCCTGCAGCCGAGCTGCACCATTCCTGCCTGAGCTACACAACGAGCTCACTAAGTCCTGGAATGCCCCTCTTTCGGCTCGAAACCGCTCCGATGTGTCCGCCTCGCTGCGCTCGGTGGACGGAGCCGCCGAGAAGGGTTATACCGCCATGCCGCCCGTCGAGGACCTGGTCGCCGCTCATCTTTGCCCGCCCTCTGCTAGATGGCGTTCTTCCCCTACGCTTCCTTCAAAAGCGTGCAGAGCAACCTCTACCTTTCATGCTCGCGCCTATGCTGCCGCCGGACAGGCCGCTTCAGCGCTGCATTCAATGTCAGTCCTCCAAGTGCTGCAGAGCAACATCTTGTGCGAAATGGCGAACAGCGGTAGGAACCCGCCCATCCTCGCGGATCTGAGAAGCGCTACGGACCTTTCCCTTCGCGCCACTAAAGCCTCCGCACAAGCCCTGGGAAAATGCATGGCCGCCCTCTGTGTCGCTGAGAGACACTTGTGGCTCAAGCTTACCGACA